AAAATTCTTCTACTTCATCACCTTAAACGAAATTGGGTGAATACATCTACTTTGTTTTACTCTGTCTTTTGCTTCATATTTTTTAATATCTTATATTTCTAATCTCCTCATCCGATCGCCTCTTGGTTAGAATCTGCGTTCTCGAATTTGCAATACATATGGGGTTTATGAGCAGGATCTATTTAAAAGGTGTGCAGTTTCTCGATTGGGGAGAGAGAGTAATGGCTATATGCTTGCCTCAACACTACTCCCAGCTACTTCATCAGCTTAAACGAAATTGGGTGAATACATATCATACTACTGATTTACTGGTAGTCACGAAAACAATACTTAATGCGAAAAATATGGGCCTGTATATCTTTTGCTGACGACAGTAGCTACATTCTGTCACTCATCCACAATTTGACCCCTCCCTCAAAGGCCATTCGACTGGGTCGTCTGCGCGGAGTTGAGAACAACTTTCGTCTCTCTCATCTGCACTTGTCCGACAACCAACAAGCTCTTCGGCACCACCAACTCCGCCTGCAACAGTGGCATCGGTTACGACGACTGGTTCAACCACCAGCACCTCTCGCCAGCGCAGAGGCGCAAAGCATCCAAAGTCATGCCGACGGGCCAGCAAACATCAGCCCCCAAAGTCACTCAGAAATGACGTCGTTGAGCCAAAGGCCCGACGGCATGGATTCGCCCGAAGGTCGCATTGCAGTCGATCTGGTGCACACCGAGCCCGAGTCCCAGCATGACGTGGAGGCAGATGATAAAGAGGAGGACATGTGGCTCATGCAAAAGTCGCTCATGAAACGAGTGGTGAGGCTGTTTCCGGGGCAACGAGCAAGACGATGGAGGCGGCCAGAGCACTTTGACACTCAAGCCGAAGAAGATTACCGCAAGCAATCGGTGTTGGAGCCATGGAAGAGGGCGTTGAGGCGAGTCAAAAGGGATGAACACTACTTCGCCGTTATAAGACAGTCGTTTGGCATGGATACGGTGAGCTGGCATAAAATATAATTGTTACATCTTTAAAGGGAGCCAATTTCCGGTATCGGACTATTGACTTGGGAAAGCTCCAAGTTAACTGTCCGATGCTGGAAAGCATTATGAATTCTATGTCAGAGGACACAAAATTAGGTGGGTTTCACAAGTTCGAAATCTAGATCTTAGACGTAAACAAGCAAAGGGGATCTTATTTTAATCATTGCTTTAAATTTCCACTTTCCACTTAATTTTATTTCATATGATGATGATGATGATGATGATGATGATAATTGATGGTGATGGCTCGTTCGTTTACTCAAATCGCATATTCTTAAATTATTTTCTTGGTCGGAACTAAGGGTTATAGTGTGTCCATGTATTTAAAGAGCTGCCTAATACGGAAAAGAATGGCTAGGGAACCATAGCTTATGAATTATATGGTCCAAGGCTCTGTACATACATTCCTTACTGCAAGCCTTTATGTGTGAATATTGAGCATGGAGAGTTAATCGTTTGAGGTGAAGCTGGATTTTTCATAATTAGTCGGAAAAGTATGAATTCGGCGTCACTACGCCCGTAGGAAAGCTATACAAAGTCTTATCTGCTGTAAGAACAATGTTGATTGATATTACCAACCATGGGCATTTTAAATATTGAACTCATTTGATAAACAATTACAATGATTCTATTTTGGTTTATTCTATGATTTACCAACCCATACCAACATAATGCTATAGACCTCAGAGCTGAGAAAATGTGATGTCCAATTCGGGCTGCTACATCTTAATAGGAATTTGGAGTCCTTCAATCTCGATTACATTTTTAGGGTAAGTTGACCAAAGTTTGCCCATAAAAATGTGAACAAGTCATGTAATGTAGCAAAACCAACAGAAAAAAATATACTCGAAGGTATGAAGACCAAGATGGTGTGGCCGTTTGTGTGGTCGCAGTCTCCCTTCGTTGTATAGAAGTTGTTTGGCCTTGTTTTCGCAACTTGGTCATGTTGGTAGGAAGACTTATAGGAACGCACCTTGTCCGGAGTCCATTGTATGATTCATCATTTCCAGAGTAGGAATGTACCAAGTCCACGGTCCTACTCTGTAAATGATGATGCATACAATGGACTCCGGACATGGTGCGTTCCTTCAAGTCTTCCTACCAACATGACCATGTTGCGAAAACAAGGTCAAACGACTTCTATACAACGAAAGCAGACTGCGACCACACAAAAGGTCACACCATCTTGCTCTTCATACCTTCGAGGAATTACTTTTGCTTGATTGATAGATTGAAAGAGAGAGAGGTTGTTGAGCCGCCGTCAAAAGGAAGGCAACTCAATTTATATGCTCAGTGATGGTTCTAATTTTATTCACAATCGTCCAAACTTTTGGAGTATGCTCATCAACCAAACCAGACATGCCAGATTACGCAGCCCTAGTCTTTCCTTTCCTTGGAGGGTTGAACGTTAATGACCCCAGAATGAAAGATTAAGACAAGTGGTTTCGTAACTTGATTTGCATGCTTACACCATTCTTGTTTACGGATTTACGCAGTCTCGGTCAAGGCTTTCTCTTTGGTCATTAGGTCTTGAGGATCAGAACCTAAGAGTAAAACATTGACAACTCTGATTTAGGAACAGTATTGCATATAGACGCTAACACGCATAAATATGCATTCTAAAATAATCGAGCAAAAAATAACAAAACCGGTATAAAAGATAATTAACCAAACCACTCTCTATCTAGGTTTTAATTTCCTTTTGC